ACCATTTCAACTTTATATTACAAAAACTTTGTACTTATGTACCAGTAAGCTAACTAACTATAAAAAGGTGGAAAATGATAACAAACAGCCTTGCAAAAAGAGATTCTACATGAAAAAACCTTCAAAATTGGACTCTTGAGTCTGTTTGAAAAAGTTGGTCAAAATCAATTTTGCTATTATTATATTGTCCTCAATTGGATTGTAAACCATATCAACTTAAGAATCATCTAAATTGTTCATTAAGCCTCTTTTTAAAAAAGAATTAACATATTGAAATTAGGACGTGCTGGACAAACAATAGAATTTGTGTATGATACACTGCGATTTTGATGGTTATTTTTATAGAAATAAAGTGTGTATTATATACAGGTAAATACGCTACACCACGAATGACATTAACAAGAATTGTTACTTCATCTACCCAGTGAAAGGGTTCATGTCCTTCATTAGGAATTCTTCCCTCTGAAGAAATGTCCCCTGTAAAACGTAAGTTTTATGACATGATCCTCACTGAAAAATTTCACAAAGAACATAATGCTTCTGTTAATCAATTTTCCTGGCAATTCTCGTGTGCCTAGACATTTTCTACCGGTCAAATTTGCTTTTAGCTACCTTGGAGTTCACCCCATCACAAGTCAATTTCCTGTAAACAACCTGCATTTTATCACATATTCAGGGCTGTGGTCTAGTGGCGCCCAGTGGGCCCCTGGAGCCTTACTTTTGCGCTTGGGCAACTGAGGAATTTTAGTTTTTTCATATAAAAGTATATGTTGGGCACCCTGTATTTCAAAGTTTTAGAGCGCAGCCTTGCTTACCGGGCAAAGTCCCTCTAGACAACTACCAACTAAGGAAATTAGGGTACTTTTCTCTTTGTTCAATACATTGTTACTTATTCGAAGAACAGAGGCTGAAAATGTATTTGGTTAGAGGCTATTGCAGATAAAATAGAGTTTCAGCTTGGTTTTCACCGCAAAATTATGTGGAAGAATATTTTCGAGGCTTTGAGCTGTAACTGAATAATTTTGATTTTGTCTTCAACAAAGGAATGTAGGGATATTATAGGGAGAAGTTACATGTGCATCACCTCTGGGAAGTATGAGGTTAAAGACAATGGGACATGTTGGAGAGATAGGTCATTTGACTTAAGTGCAGACTACATAAACCTTTTCCCCATGATGAAAATACCAACAGATGCTACTATAACACTGATTTATTACACGAGTCGGGCAGTCAGAGGGCCAATAACTAAAATCAACCAATCAAAATGCTCTATTGCCGGTC